GTACACTGTGATCATGAAGCGACAAACATGGTTAGTAACAATACTCAGGTAGGTTTAAATCATTATCATTTGGTATTAAAGGGCCCTAAAGGACCCAAAATGTTCCAAGAAAAGTTGCTTTCACATTGTTTACTGAACTTTTTTCGAGTCTTTATTGTTCAGTTTTGGTGAGATTGTGTAAAGAGACTGATTAGACAAACAGCTGTACCTAATAAAGTGACTAGTGAGCGCAGCTCATCTTCTTTGTACTGTGAAATATTTATGGACTCTACACTCTTCTTTTCCTGCTCCTAAATGGGAAGGGGTGGAAACAGAAATTCACATGAATAAATAAATTAATATGCTGCATGACGGTTGACTATTTTGGTGACCCGGCGTTTTGTTAGCAGCAGATTAAACTCTCAGACAGCAGAGCAGAACTGTTCACTGGACTGTGAACAACAAACACTGGAGTGCCATCTATTCGGGGCAGTGATGTGAAGTAAAGCATTTGGGACTTGATGGGTAGACGCTGGTCTTTTATTAAAAATGTGAGCTAATCAGCGGTTGGTGCCTTTTGTAAATAGTTATTAAATGATTTAATATATTTAATAAAAACAGCATATGTAAGTGCAAGTATGTATTCAAACAGGCAGGTGTTTATCCTGGCAAGCATAGAAACACCATGAATTTATTTAATGTGCACAAAAAGCACGCACATGTAGAAAACATCGTTGCGTATTACGTGTTTTAAAGATTTTTCCTTCCACACTTTTAATCATGTGTCATGTACTTTGGGGCAGGAAGGTGTGGCTTCTCCAACAGCAGACATAGCTGTTACTGCCATGATCCAGCAGCACTGCTCTTACAGTGGGAAGTACAAACAGGATTACAGCCTCAGTCACAGAAAGCAGGATTTCTAAGAACTCGGCCTTGCAGCGCCTTTTATCTTACAGAAGCAATAATCCCACAAAGGCAGCGGTAAATTAGCGGTGGGCAAGCAACAGACCTGACTGCAGCTTTGAAATTTTAGCTTTTAAAATTTGTTACTAATCAAGAGCTCTTCAGCGGTGACTATCCCAAGACCACATTCTGCATAAATCACCATTATGAAGGCATGCAGAGTGTTGTGCATCCTGTTTATTGAGTTAGCGCTACTTTTTTTGACATTGCATATTCTAATTGTTCACATGAGTACCAAAGGATGCCAAGTACATTTCACACTGTCTGCCTGTGTACATTTACAGCAAAAGTATGCCATAAAAAATAACGTTCAAGTGCTCGAAGTAAAGATAGTAATAATAGTACTATTTACAGAAGTGCTAGGTAGGTAACAATGTCACACTATTAAGCATTATTAAGGTATTATAAAGTGCTCATCATTTATATATCATTACTCCTCCTTAGTATGCCATTTGTAAATACAGATATATTTATAAACATATCTGTATTTATAAATGAAACACACTGGAGGCGCAATAACATATAAATGATAAATTAAGCACCTACTAATGCTTAATAATGTGACATTATTATACAGTGTTATCCAGTACTGTAATGGGTAATGCCACCAATTTACCACATTAAATGAAATTATGTCACTGAAGTTATTAACAGTCAGAGTAACAGTGCTGGTAGTTACTGGTTAATTACCAAAGGCTAAAATTTATTAATTGTTATCCATGAATTTACAAATCTACTGTTTTAAGAAAAAGGTAAAGCATATTATTATTATTATTATTATTATTATTTTATTTTTATTTACTTGCCAAATTACAGTCATTTACTTGCATTCATGAACAGAAGAATTACTTTCAGTGATGAAACGTTATGCTTGATTAGTCCAGTAACATGCCCAAAACTGTAGAGCCGGTTAAGTTGCACTGTGAATATACTGGTGCCAGATATTTAATCAAAGCTTTAGTCAAAAGCTTAGATGATTTCAAATTGCCCATTCTAAAAAAATTTCAAAGTAAAAGTCTGCTTCTTTAACAGATTAGTAACATGAGTAAGTAAACAAACGGAGGACATAGTGCAGATAATGTTTTCAGCTTTACTGGCACCTGCACCTTCACTCCCTTCTCCACCTGCTCCTGCTGTTTGTATTATTTATCAGTTATACTCTGTTGACCTGCAAAGATAGAAACATATTCACCCCGGTATACAAAATGGTAAAGTTACCATTTTGACTTACCTGTAAGCTCGTCTGCTCTCAAACAACGTCAAATATTAAAGACATGAGGGAAGTGGAGGCAGTGAAGTCGCTAAAAGAAGAACACCTTGTGACCTTTTGCAGTCAAACGACTTGCAGGGAATAACACCTGAGTGCACAGAAAAGCTACATCTGCAATTCTTTTTATGCCTTTGAGCCCATTTGTTTTATTTCTAGTCTATTTTGGGGGCTGGATAGTGATGTCACACTGTTTTCATGACTGTTCCTCTCTTATTTAAGCTTATATTTATGTGCCCAAGCCCATGCTTGGAGTTGGAGTGATTTTGTGTGACATCAGAAAGAAAACAAAGTAGCTGTGCGTGCTCATCACGTAGTCTTACCTCTAACTGTGCAGGGCTGTGGCCCCAGTTTGTCCCTACAAATGAGATAAAGTGTGAGGGGGTGGGCGGGGGTGCATGACTCTTTTTAGGTACCAAAATTTACCAAAATCAACCACTTCAGAGGGTCTAATACAGCGGGACACATAGAGACTGCCTGGTTCTGCTTTCTCAGCGTTTGGCCTGGCACTCTGACAGCAGCATTTTTCCTAATAACATTCACAGCTGAAGAAACAATCATTTTTAGAAACCAAAGTGCTGACATTTCAGTGGTTCTCCACATCTCAGCTGGAAATATTGATTTTGGTTTAATACACAAAATAAATCTTATTACAGTTAAATCCTTTGTGCAGTTTTTTCCCTCCCAAATTCCAATATCTGTGATTTAAAATTGCAAAATATGTCATCATCATGGTCAGTTTCTCCAGTTTGACCTCGTATCCTCGGGTACAACTGCCTGGACGTAATCTTACTCAGAAGCAAGGCTAGTGTGGGCATCATATTTCTCCTGATCTGTTGGGCATTCAGCACATCCTCTAACCTCTAAACTTAAAGCTCCAGCCTATGTTGCCTTGTGCTCTATTCAACTTTGCTGTATCAGCTCAGTCTTCTTTAGTCTATTTGCAGACAGCTGTAAAGTCAGCATACTGTAGAGTGGTGTAGAGACATCCAAGATATTAAATCAATCAGAAAGATCGATTGAATAAAATAGTTCATTTGATCTTTTTGAACTGAATAGAACGGCATAAAGAGTCTTAAAACTGCACATTCCTGATCTTGTTGTCTGCAAGGCGTACTAGGCATTTGCAATTTTTACTTCCTCATCCTTAAAAATCCTAAAATCCATTGTCTTCGTTTTAAAAGAAGACATTTGTAGTCCAAAACGAGCAGATTTCATCATGAATTTGAAAGATTTTTTGCACTTATTTGATATATTTTTCAATAAATGGTGTGAGGGGAAAAAAAGCAATGACAATCAAACTATTGGCACCAAAATGTATTTTTGTCATCTTCATTGTTTTTTTCAGTGTACATTATAGAAAAATATAGAGTAGCAAAAGTTCACAGTGTCCAAAAGGCAGTGTTAAGTCACATCAATCATATTTAACACAAGCGTTTTTGGGAGCAAAACAAATCCATTTTGGGGATTTTTCTTAAAATATGAGGATAAATTGTGTCCAGTGTGAATCAGATTTGACACCAAAGCGGCCTTTAAATACAAAACTCACTTTCTCTGCCGCAGACAGGGTAGGAACACCGTTTTTAAAAAGACATTTCCACTTTCTTGGTTAAATACATTCAAACATTTGTACACTTTACACAAACATGGACTGTATATTCATGAAAGAATGTCAGTACATGCAGTTACATGTATATAAACACACATATTGTACTATCGGGGCTTTTTTGTTTCATGCTGTGTAAAAATGCTGAGAAACTGGTGCATTCACTTCTTGGTATTTACAAATTAGAGACACAAAATATGCAATATACGTTTTATCATTAACAACACAGGGCTTGGATTTAACACCAAAAAAAATCACTTTACTTTATTGTAAAGTTTATTTGTTTTAAAATAAAAATATACAATTCGGTTCAAATTTGTTATGATTTAGAGGTTAAGGGTGCAAAGTGTTTTTGGTATTACTAGAAGCCAACACATTTTTTCAATTTCCTCTCACAGTGACTTTTATGTGGGAAATTTTCAGCAGTAGAGTTTGAGGTTGGGCTTTTTCGGCAAATCAAAACAGAATCTGGCACAAATCATCAGGAAACTAGAGCCAGTGATCAACCAGTGCACCTCCAATCCAGTTACATTAACAGCTTTTTCAGCTAAAAGCAACGATTTTGTTTCCATGTTCCTAACAGTGGAAAATTAACCGAGTAACCGTGCCAAAGATGCCCCTATTTATTTACCTAATAATTTCCCCAGGAAATGTATTACATTATATTTTATATTATGTAAAAAATGGCACATTGTAAGAAAAATTACCCACCATTTGAAGAAATAAGCAACAAATAGCTGAAAAACACATTTATACAAGTGTGTGCAATGTTGTCCAAGTAATGAGACACGCCATCACGAGACGAAACTTAAGTTACACTCACCGGCCACTTCATTAGATACACCTTACTAGTAATAACTTTGACTCTGTCATAATTCCTTGTGGCATAGACTCACAAAGGAGCTGGAAGCATTCTTCAGAGATTGATGGGTACAGTGTAGCGATGAAGGGATGAACATGGTCAGCAACATTACTCAGGCGGAGTTTAAGCAAAAGACTATATTAAAAAAATGTTCCCCACACAATTCTGCTACCTGCTGAGGTTTGATTAAAGGTAAATTCTGACCCTGCCGTCTGAATGTTACAATACAAATTGAGATTTGTCAGATCAGGCAACATTTTTCCCATCTATTACCCAATTTTGGTGAGCTTGTGTTAATTGTAGCCTCAGTTTTCTGTTCTTAGCTGACAGGACTGACATCCAGTGTGGTATTCTGCTGCTGTAGCCTATGCTCATCTGCGTACTTGGTTTGAGTTACTGTTGTCTTCATCGTTCTTCATCATTCTGTTGCTCAGTTTGAACTTCAGCAGCTTCAAAATTTGATCAATTTTGAATTAAGAGACGTGCAGGGAGAAAACAGTTATTTTCTACGTTGTCTTCCTCAATGGAAAACACCAACGTTTAAGCACATTTTATCATCTTAAAGTTTTACACTTTAAATTTGTGCAGAACCAAAACATAAACCAAAACATTTTTGTATTTTTTGGGGGCAGCAGTTGTTTCCCAGTCACTTCAGTATGTGCTATTAAATAAAAACAAAAATTGTAGCCACCATAAGCAAGTTAATCACAAAAAAGTTACATTTTGTTGCATGAAATTAATATTCATTTGAAAAGTCGAACACTGATAATGAATTATTCACATTCTGTTGAAATATACATGAACAGCTGTATTGTTTTTGGTGATTTTTGAACAGTAGCCTTGTAAAATCGGGGCGGTACGCCCCCATATTTTTCCATAGCTGAATCAGCATGAATCTGTGAACACCCCTAAAATAATTTGTTCATTCTGCTGATAGAAAAGTTGGCAAACATGCATTTTCTTCTTTTCTTTTTTTTACCAATGTACAGTACGAAGTCAAGCGTGTCAAAAATGTCCTCTTCAGGATTGCTGTCCATCGTTTTGCCAGCTAAGTATGAAAATTAAAGCGAATAAGCTGCGAGTCTGTTAATTTCTTAGCTTTATTCAGAGTGGAGATGTTCCTTAATACCCATCATTTCATGGATCTGTTTTTTTATCATGGAAATCAGTCTTTGCAAAAGAGTCCAGTGGATCCAGTTACACACAATGTCAGCGGAGTTCAAGCCCTGGAGGTTTGGGTTCTGCTTTCTGGCACCCTGAGCATGACCAGGGCACTTCAGGGAGGGTGAAGTGAGTAGACGGGGGGGATCCCTGTAGATGGTGGTTTCATCAGAGAACAAACGAGCCTTAAAAAACAAAACAAAACAAGTCCTCCTCTGGGAGGTAAAAGTTGATGCACTGTGGCTCACGAACAGATGCACGCACAACATCTGAAACAAGGGCCGGATCGATCGGACCACCCACAGCTCGTTCTTGGTTACTGGCTCATAGTCTCTGCAATCAGTAAACCAGTCACCTCTCATTCTGGCTCTAAGAAAACAGGCAGCTACATGGTGAAGAAAGGGAGGAAACGAAAAGGCTGCCGGCTTTTGTGGGATACTGAAAGTACCGTCAAAATATAAGAATTTAAAGAACTTCCTACAGATGCGGAAAACTAAAAAGACACTCACGATGTGCTCTCAGTAGCGCTTCTTTATATGTGAACTGTAATTTGGGATCACCTTTGTTTTGCTTCTTCCTTTATATTTACACAATTGACCTTATTTTGAAGATTATTAGTCCCCAAATCTGGGATTAATAAATTCAATCTTCCCTAGTTACAGCACCACACAGTCCACGTTGACTGACTGCGGGGTTTTTGGGCTGGCAGACATTTATTCTTGTTAGGGTAAAATGACAAATCGTGCAGGGAGATGGTGCGCAGACGGGTCAGATTTTTTAAACAGGAATATTACATCTGAGTGATTTATACTCGAAATCTTTATAATCTCAGCGCTGTGGTCAAAAATGATATTGAGTTGTGACACACAGCTGGAACTGCTTTAAAGCAAAGAAATAGTCCAAAACCAAAATGACTTGCATGGCCAAATATTTGGGTATTTCATGAATAACTCTAATAGAAATCATTTTGGTGTTTACCTTAAGACTATTTAAGACTTTGCTCTGATTTCTGAATGATGAGCACATTGTGGTGGATGAGTTTGTTGGCTGAAGCCCGGCCTCCTCTCAGCTGTGCATGTAGGTCCTGCAGGGCGAGTCTGGATGGAAGTCGTACTTGCTCAAACTGGAAGGGTAGTAGGTGGTGGCAAACATATTGCCTGAGGGCACCGGAGAGGGGAAATGGTTGCATGTCTCATCGTTGACATGAATGTTGTTCTTGTTCAGCATCTACAAAATGGCAAACCGTGTTTTATAAAAATCCTCACTTAAAAACCTTTAGAGTCTATAAACCATTTAGAAATGTATTTAAAGTAATTACAGGCCCACCTTGAACTCCATGGGGATGTACTTCTCATTCTTTGGCGTGGCGTTGCCCTGCTTGTTGTAAGTGAGGTGGTTTGGTGTGCTCGGGTGGATTACCGCTGACTCTGCCGATGGTCGGTTCAGGTGGTGACAGTATGTGAAGGCCAGAGCTGACAGGAGGGCTGCTGCAAAGAAACTGGCTAAGCCCACAGCTGCCAGCTGGAACAAGGTAAAGGCTGTACACAGGGAGGTGGGGAAGGAAGAGCACAGAAACAGAGCCATTGTTAAACCAGTGAGAAGTTTGTGACTAGTTTTCCACTTCCACTTGAACGCAGCTTATATTTGTGGATCTGTGAAGAGCTGGCAGTGTGAAATTTCTCGTGCTCGTGGGTCATGTCGTATGCATTTGCAACACTTTTGAGGTAAAATTTTCACTGTAATAGGAAATAGTCTGTCTAGAAGGTGGTGTAAAAAATGTGAGCTTTTGTTAGAAGGGAAAGAAAGCGAGGAACTAAAAGCAACTGAAAGTTGATGTCACTACCTGAATGGGACCAATATCGATTCCACATTTTCGGCCAATCCCGTGCCACGCGGGGCCGAAGTCACAAACAAAAGTCAATATGGTACCAACTGTGTGGTACACATCAGGAGAAGAAGAAAGCCAATAACTTTTACAAGAATGGCTAGTTGTTGCTACATCCTCCAATTAAACCGAGGAGATACTGATTTGGTTTGGATGCAACGCTGGAAGAAAAGCAGGAAACCCTGCAGATATTTCATGCTGGGAATTGAAGAGCGCAGGAGGTGTGTATGTGTGTAAGCTGGGAACAATGTGTAATTATTTGGGGGAGAGTGAACAGAAAGACATCAGTTGTTTTCACTCACTTCCACAGCTCTGGTCCTCCTGACCGGGCAAAATGACTGCAGAGAAAGAGAAATGAAAAAAAAAAAGCCATCAATGTAGAGAAGAAGAAAAAAGAAAATCACAGCAGCTCCGAGAGATCAAACAAGACAAAAGTAGTTAATTTCTCACAAAGCCTTCCCTGTTCTCGAGGTAGGCACGCTGCTGACATCTCCGCTAATTCATCTTTTTAATTTTCTCCAAATGCAGAGTGAACAAGTCAGCATTTAGCGTGCCTGATTAAACTTTTCATTCAAGTTAATTTTTCCAGCTTATATCTGCAACAGTCTGCAGCGGTCCTGTTTACATGTGCGATCATGCGCTTACCCGGCACCTCGTGAGGCTGGCACGGCCTAGACTGGGTGACGTTGCCCTGGCAGAGACTGACCTCAGCCTCTTGGTTCTCATCGCAGCGGCGGGTGCGATGCTGCAGGCCCTCGTCGTCACAGTCCCCCCACTCTGTCCATTCACCCCAACCTGCAAACACAGGAATCAGGGAAAACGACAAACGTCCAAATGAGAAATGGGAAAATAAATGAGCATTTTTCCAATCACCAACAAACTCAACCTCCTCTGCAAGGAGAGGAACTGTGTGGTAAGTCACCAAGAGTGCAGCCTGACGAGTTCTGGCCACAGTGCATCAGTGCAATGGTCATCATCATCAGTCAGCAACCTTGTGTGCCTCCCGGGATCGCTTTGTTTCGCGAACAAAAGCCTAAAATGGACGAGGAGTTGATTACACCGATTTGCCTCCCGTGTCTCTGCATTTTTTTTCTTCTTTTCAAAGTCCAAGGGAATAAAGATATACAAGAAGCTGCTCGCATCCAAATTCACGTCGATAGGGAAATTTGGAGCTATTTCATTAACTGTTTTTCCGTTCCTTCTCCGACCTTCAGACGACGCATGCTGGGAGAGGCTCCAACGGCCACATTGTTTTCCTTCTCATCACAAATATTGATTGGCCCGTGTGGGGGAGATTTCCCATCAGTGGCCAAAGAAGAAGCAGTTATTTAATCTAGATAGACTGAGAGAATCTAGAGAGTATTTTTAATGGTGTAATAATTGCAATGAATTTTTAAAAATTTAGAAATTTGGATAAAGGGGTTGTTTGTAAGAAAGTTATAAGCTGACTTTTATCTTTAACTTCACAACATTGATGTTCAAATCAGATTAACTGCAGTCCTTTGTAGTGAATCCCCCCCTAAGACACAGAAATTCATATTATAACTGCTGATAATATCTGTACCATAATTTACTCATCTTCACTTCAGTTAGAAAGCTTTTGTCTTCAAACCTAGACACAGACAAAATCTGCTAGTGATGTAATATGTTCAACTGATCCATCTGTGACCATTACACATCTTTGGTTTGTCTGAAACCTTCCATAGTGCGGCTTCACATATCCCTTCATACCCTCACAGGCGTGTATATTACAAAGGGCCTCTTCAGTATGCAGGCCTATGCAGATATCTCCTCCGTTGGCAGGGGGTGGGCTGCTGCATGTCCGAGTCCTCTGGTAGTGCCCGCCTCCACAGCTGGACGTGCACTGGGACCAGGCAGACCAGCAAGACCAGGCTCCATTCACTAGATTTAGAAGAAAACCCCATAATAATGTAACACAATGTAATGCAAGCTAATGATGGTATATAACAGTTTCATGTAGCTGTGACCTCAGTGCACAAGTGTTTTTAATTGGCATTTTTTTCCACTGGCCACCAGGGGGAGATTCATATAGTAGCAAAAAGTCTAACTGTGCAGAGGTCTATTGCGGAGGGCCATGAGTACCAAAACGAATTAAATAAATATATCATTAAATAATAAATCAAATGTGCCATTAATAAATTAAAATTGGAAAAAAAGAATTATTAAATTCAATTAAATGAATGAATATTCAATTATTTATATACTGAATTAATTAATGATTTAATGATTGATTATTTAATGAAACACAACAATAAATGAGACATACAACATACATTCATCTTGTAAACGATCGTCCCCACTAGAATAAAGACAGACAGGAAATCAATGTATGCATGCTTTAGGATGTGGGTACCTAATGATTGTTAGCCGCTAACACGTGAGCATGCAGTGACCACAGTTCTGCAGTCAGATCCACCACCCAATCAACATCAGCTCTAGGCTTAATGCTTAATGGGACCTCAGTGTCCAGCTGGTAATGTCACTGTGGTTGTGTCCACCATTTATATACAGTCTGTGAGGTACAGTGCACTAGAAGCTCTCTGTTACCTGGACACGGTTGAGTGTTGCAGTCCTGATACTCCACCGGCGATCCCACACAGGCGCTGGGGTTGATCCTCCCTTCTATCGTCAAGCAGCTGCGTTTCCGAGTTCGGAAGCCTCTGGAGCACTGCTGGGAACAGCTGGACCACGTTTCCCAGGATCCCCATCGGGCACCTTGTGGCTGGGATGAAGTTCGGACACTTGTCTTCATTAAGTCTTCAACCAAAGCTGGCAACAAATATAAAACACATTTTGTTCTCTATCTTAGAATCCAAACAAGGGAAACAAATTACACTAAAAAAATATACAAGTCGATCACAACATCTGCCACAATCTGCTGAACGAGTCAGAAATTTTCTCTGAATTCAAATCGGAGACACGCTATTGTATGGTTTTATTGCTAAGCTCAGCAGCCAGCCTGTTATGAAACAACAATTAGCGAGGTACAATGCAGGCACAAAATGAGCTAGATTTCCCTGTACGCTGACACACACATACAGTTGGTATACCCACAATTGCAAATTATTTACATATGAATCAGAAGCGCTTCCTGAGGCTTTTAAATGAGGCCACCAGAAACATTTCATTAAGATTTTCTTTTCTGAGGATGACAACTTGAGAGCAGTCACACAAGCTACGAAAAACAATGACATTTCCCACTTCCTCAGCTTTACTTATTTTGGAGTAAATACCCAAAGGGTGATACAATCCAGATTCTATGAGAGAGAAGAGAAAAAAAACAAAAGCTTAGATGACTCTGAGGGATGAAGGAAGAGGACATCTGCTTCCCCACAACAGTTCAATGATGTTTAATCAATCTGCTGACTGATGTCCACAGACAGGAAACCAGCTGTGTTTAGCGTGGCATACTGGGAGATATGCCACCAGCAGTGCTGATAAAAGCTCAGACAGATACAGCTCTAGGCAGATAGCGTGTGTACGACTGCTGTATGGAGTCGAAAAACTTCACAAAAATGATTCAAACCTTAAAAAATTTACCCCCGCTTACCCTCCCTGTGGAATCCAGGTACACCTGCATTCTAGCAGGTAATCACAGCAACAGCTGTGTTTGCACATTTACAATCAAGCACATCTGCTGTGACTTACAAACAGAAAATATGGCAACATTTCTAGTTTCCCTAAGTTGTTAAACTCGCTTTTCCACATCTCCCAGCTTATTTCCAGTACTCACAGTCAGTCTGGCAAGCTCCAGACCCGTCGTTGGGGCAGAAACGGGTCTCCACCTTCTTCCTGCCCAGCTGGAGCTGCTGGGGGTCCGGCAGAAGTGCCCGGCATGTGTACCTGAATCTCTGCTCCTGCCGTGACCCGTCTTGGCTTACATTGACGGGCATCCACTGGGTCCAGGGGGTGTTACGACGAACTTCAGGGCAAGCCTCCAGGTTACAGGCTTTGTACTCCTGCAGAACAGGATGGAAACAGCTCATCAACTTTAGAGCTAATGAAAAGGCAAATCCCAGCAGGCTACAGCTACTGCTGTCTATCCTATCACAGCTACATCTCCCAATTGATTGCAGAGAGAGCCTGCTGCCTTATTATATCCTGCCAAACAACACAAACATTACAGTTTTCCTGGGAGAGGGCTCAATCATGCAGCAACTTACTGTATTTAATAGGACATAAACTTGAGCTTTATTGAATGCAATGAAGAACAAAACCCTTTTTAGATGTGAGTTTTCCCCAGGTACAGACATTAAAGTTTAATGCAGAAGGACTTCCAGCCCTTTAATTGGGTAGTGCTCGGAAAGTTTTTCTCTACAACAGCTAACTTTGACTTTTTTTTTGCCCTCAAAAAAGTAAGTATAAGTATTGTTAGTAAGTATAAATAAATAATTCTGACAATACAAAATGAAAAAAAATGTAGAAGTTTTCTAGAAATAGAATAGCAGAGCAGATAGACTGGGTTGGCTCAGATTTCCCAAGTGTTTCCAAAAAATGGCAGGGCTTCAGAGTTCAAATGTATACCTAATAAAGTGGCCTATGATGTGGACAGATAGACAGATGTTTTCCCCCAAGTCTAGTAGACTGAGACTGAGCAGAAAGAGCGGGGACTGTGTGTACCTGCTGTACAATCTGAGGTACTTGTGGGGAAAACAAACGTCCTTTATCTTGTTGTGTAATAAAAACAGACAAGTAGGTCACTCATGTCTGCAAATCAACTTGGATATTATTTTGCCTACTCTCTTCTCTTCACATATAGAGCAAAAATACCGTAGCACATCCAGGACAGCTGTTTCCGTTCTCACAGCTTCTCGTCCTGGAGTGGACCCCCCCACCACAGTCAGCACTGCAGTGAGCCCAGGGTCCCCACGCAGTCCACACTATGGGAAGTGGGCATGGCTTTTTCTCATTGCACAGCCTGAAAATACAAAGAGGAATGCACACTCACTCACACACAGAGCTTTGTAATGCAGTAATCGGGCCTGATTGCTAAATTCTGAAGTAACCTCCTCACCTCTCCTCCCGTCCCTGGCCGACACAGACTCTACCGCCGTGGCGAGGTGCGGGGTTATTGCAGGAGCGCTGCCTCACCTCAAACCCAATGCCGCAGCTGCTGCTACACTGGCCCCACGATGACCAGGGAGTCCAGCCGCCATTCCTGAGAAAGAGAACGTAAGAATGGATGTGACTGAGCCTGATGTTTTAAAACGAATGTGTTTTTTAAGCAAACTGTCTCCTTTTATGAGTGTATTAGTTGTTAGAATATAGTTGAACATAAAGGACTATTTTTAGATTTACTTACATAACAGTGCATTTTTTTCAAAGATTGATTTCAAAGGATTAGTATGGGAATAATGGATGTCTGCATGAAAAGAAATATACCTGGAGCAGTTTGCCACCTGGATCGTCGGGCCCTTGCATTCAATCCCTCCACATCTGGCCACCGGTCCATTGCAAAAGCGCGACCGACACAAACAGCTGCTGATGGAGCCATCACCATCATCGTGGTTACAAGGCTGCCAAGGCTTCCACGGACCAAAACCACCATCCTGAGTCAGGTTCCTCACCTCCAGAGAGGATTAGAGAATCACATATGATAATTAGCATGCTATATTAGGCTAGTGATAATGAGTTTTTGTTATCAAACAGGGAACTTGTGATGAAATTCTTATTAGAAGTGAGACAGGAAAGATCTATACAACAGACAAACCCAGTGTCTTACAGGGCATTCAGTGATGTTCTGCGTCCACTGGTTCATGTTGGAGCTCTCCTCGATGGTGGTGCACCGCTTCTGTTTATGATCCCAGCCACAGTAAGGGTCCCGGGCCTCCATGCAGGAGCTAACAGGTATTTAGATAGACTATCAGTGTCTGTAGATGCCTTTCTTTAGCAGTTTGCAGATTTTTAAGCTGACACAAAGTCGGACAATCTACTGATTGTTGTGTTTCTGCTCATAAAAGATCTCCTGTTGTGTTTTGAGTGAGAAAGCTGTCAACTATTCCAGCAGTGTACTCATTGTCAACAAAATTCATAAAAGCCTGCTTGATATGTCTGCTCTGAGTCTTGCAGAACTGTACCCTGACAGTCCAAAATGTGTCTCTTTGTAGGGAAGATAAATAGGGCTCTTAACAGAATCATCTTTGTCAGCATTTGTTCGCAGGCCCTTAAGACTTGGACACCCGCGTGTGTTTCTTAGTAGATTTGCCCACTCATCACCAGCACCAGAAAATCAATATATGAGCAGGCTCACACAGACTAAAGGCTACAATTTTTCATTTTTCTTATGCTAAATATTTATACTCGGTCATATTTATGGTTCTTATGTTCATTAATCTGTAGGTATATTTGTTTCTATTTGGTATAAAGACTAAAAGCATTTTAGAAAATCTTGGACCAAACCGTTCAGTTGGGTAGCTGGAGCAGCGCTCTAATGGGATCTTCACCAATCTGTCATTGAGGCCCACAAACAGTGATCTGTCATTGTGGAGAATTTGCAGACTCTTTATTGGCCCCACTTTCCCTTCGGGCAGGATCCTGAGCTCCTCCAGGTAGCAGTCATGCAGGCTTTTATTGGTTGTGGAGAGAGCCTTCAGAATGGTGCCATATTCTTTTAAGATAATAGTAATAAGAGCAAGCTCCAGGATAGCAGATAAAAAAACGGTTCGAGTGATTATTTTCTAATTTTTAATTAGAACATGTCTCACCCGTGCCGATGTACATGACGTGGTAGAGAGAGTGTCGGCCCTGCACGATATCCACCACCAGCTTAGAGAAACGTAGGTTGTCCTGGGTGAGCAGGGGGTTGACGGTTACTGGCTGGACCACGTCGTTCATGAGGAAGAGCCGCTGGGCGTCCTGGAGGCTGCGCTCTGTCAGGTTTCCCCCATTGGCGCCCTCCTCTAACGTGCCACACTGAGCAGTCAAGAAGGAGGCAGCAGAAGGGCGTTTAGTGAAAGGGAAGCTTCTCATATTGTGTCTGTGAAGGTTCTTAGTCCTCCAGGTCATCGTAGTCTAAGGAGCTTGGAAAGAAGCCCGTTTTCACACCTTGGCTCACGTGATTAGGTAGAGGATCATTAGGGGGTCCTTTTGTCCCTCTTGGGGGGAAACTCCCACAGGGTTTAATCTGGGACTCTCCACCATTTGACCCTAGAACTGAAGAAGCTTCTCGGATGAGAGGTGAAACGTCTTCAAGCAACTTGAAGTCCAGACGCTTTTCTTTCCAAGCTCCTTAGACTTCTTATACTGTGTTATTATGGACAGTCTGCATAATTCATAATCCAGAAAAGTCTTATTTGTAATATACTGGCCAATTATGCAGTCTCCTAGTTCTTCGTCTAGCTGAAACATGCATTTAAACACACGTCTCTTAAGATTCTCCACCTCAAAAGCCCATTTTCTTCTGATGCTGCTCTTCATTCAGTGTTTGTGCACTGCACCTCCACATAAGGCAGGGGTGTTAAACATAAGGCCTTAATCTTTACTGGCCCAGTAAAGATTAAAATTTGGCCCACTGGAAGGCGCTAGAAAATGTGGAGGAGAGATATTTGGTACTTTTAACTGTATTTTCACAAGTTTTATATCTTTTTCAACTGATAAAGACCTCCCCTGCAGCTATGCATGCTACACCAAAGTAATGAAGTTATAAACAATTAAATGACAGAAAAGTTCCTGGTTTTTACAGTGTCCACAGTAAAAAAAAAAGAAAAAGGGTAAAGTCCGATGATGGATATCTTATTATCGTTAGGCATGTAAATAGTTTTGTGCATGCTAGCTTAATGGCAATCTTACAGGCAACAAATGCTTCATGAAAAAATTGTTAAGCTTTTTTTGTTTTATATTTAAGGACAAAATTTCAGGCAAGATCATTACTGTTGCTAAAGGACTGTTAGCGACAATGTTAATTTATATTAAATAAATGCAAGGTTAAAATTGCACATAGCAAAACACAAGCTTATATACAGATATTATACAACAGGAAATGTGACTACAGTTTCCCTGTAGCTCAAACTGAATAGCACTTTGCAGATGCATTGGGAAATTTGCCAAGCATTTATTTTGGGGACATGTATTTGTTGGAGCTGAGCAAAACTTCTCTGCTGCACTGCATTTAGATATCTGCAATCAGCACAGAGTGATGAAGTGGATGTCAGTCTTTTGAAAATTTCTTTACAAGCCTTCGTGGAATTGCTGGGCAACTGTGGCAAGATAAAGCTGTTTGCTTTAGTGTCCTCACCAACCTCATGTTCTCAGAGAAAAATACATATGTATAAAGAAGTCTGAATTCTTTGTCATTGTCCAAGTTTTGAAATGAGTTACCTGAAAGTTGGGTATAGGGTTTGGAGTGGCCAGCCAAGCAGTGCGCGGGTTCTCCTGGTATCGAAATGGTCCATTGAAGGCTTGGGTGATGGCGCTCAGATTAAAAGCACAGACAGCAGAAGCTGATATGCTGTTTCTAGAGAAGCACAGGAAATTACAATGCTCAGGTCTTAGCTAATGAATGTGAAGGAAAGCAAACATTCTTGAGCACATCTCTACAGAAAAGCACATATTTCTTGAATTGTTAAATATATAACAGTAAAAAACAAACATAACCTTTTAGTTGCCTCAGTTGAAACTACTCTATGGAATAAACATTAGTGTAAAGGTGTGTAGTCTTAAAGCAAGCCCCAAAGGCACAGCTGATATGGGAGAGGACACATTTGCCAAAATAAATTACCTTTCATACAAACATGATAAGAGAGATTAATAGTTAGTACTTTTGGTCAAAGTTTTATTAAAAAGCCTCAAAATGCTGTCTAGGTATATTAGCCAGAAAAAGACTAATGTACACAATATCACTGTAACTTACCAAACCAAGTGTTTTTTACTTGGCTTTAAATAAGGCAATGTACAAATGCCAAAATGTTCCTTTAATGGCCAATGTGTTAACATTTACGACTTTAAAGAAGAAAAAATCACATTTCTAGCACAGTATAATAACTTGTCTTGGTTTTTATAGACAATGACAAAGTACATGGCAGCTGTCCAGGAACAAATGCTTTAAAGCTATGTGTAATTAAGGTTGTGTAGACCTGGAGTGACCTGTAGGTGCACAGACAACTGTAGCTGCTAGCTATAGTCTCACCTCAGCTAATTCATGCCCATATTTTCCACCAATTTTGTGAAATTATGTGACAGACAGTATTGCCTTCTGGGTAGTTCATTGTACTAACAGGCTGTCTAACTCTTTTGAGTCAATTCTATGCATTATTGATTGTATTTAGGACAAATTGGCTAATGACTACTGTTGCAAAAGGTCTATTAGCGACAGTGTTAATTTATATTAAATAAATGCAAGTTTAAAATTGAACATAGCAAAACACATGCTTATATACAGACACTGACAGTGTGTCAGTGTGGCAGCATGTGTGTCAGTGGAACACAATTTGCTAACCTAGCTAGCTTTCAATAGCTAGCTTAGCACTCCATCCTTGTGTCTATATTTAGCCACATTAAGCAAGCTGGTAACAGCAAAAACACAAAATTTGTTGGTGAGGCTACAGTGAGTGCATCTTTCTTTCATATCCTCCTGAGAACCGAGGAAAGTTTCTTTCATTGTAACTTTTTTGTGATGTCCTGCCTATTTGGAGCTGAAAGAGGCCACCCAAACACACTTTTGAAAACAACAGGACTTATTAGGGTAGCTCAAATAAGTCAAAATATATTGACCAAAAACAAACATCCATTAAAGAGGACATAAATGAACAGACTGGTTCTCAGGAGGATATACTCTATGACCCAGTGACCCAGTGTTTTGAGTTTTAGTTCATTTTGATGTTTATATGTTTAAGCTCATTAGGTTTCCTATGTTCATTTGCTTATCAGTTCCCCCTTGTGTTTTCAACCCCTGTGAAGTCTCCCTTGCCCTTCATGTGTTTCATGTCTGTGAGTCTCATATTGTCATGTCTGCATTATGTTTCCTGTTTTATTTTGAAGGGGTCCGGTGTTCCTATGTTCAATGTTTTTAGTTTTACTCTCCTCTTGTGACGTCGTTATGTTCATGTGTGTCAGCTGTTTCTCTATGTGTTTCCATTTCCCTCATTATCCTCCTGTGTGTATTTAGTCGGTGTGTTCTGGTCATTCTTTGTCAGGTCGTCTGTTGGCCACGCCATGTTTCCAAGTTTCATGTCTAGGTTTTTCTTGTTGTTTGTTTAGTTCTCCCAGTTTAGGGTAATGTTAGTTTTACTTCAGTCTGCCTTGCCCTTTGTTTGTTCCTTTCTTACCAGCCATATTAAACGGCTTGCTTTTTGTTAACATTCAAGTGTTGTTCCCTGTTCCTTGGAGTCTGCATTTTGGGTCCTTCTCGTCAATTCATACAGTCTGCCCTCGCCAGACTGTGACATAAAGTCTATGAAATGACATTATTAACAAACAGAACTCACACATTAGTGGTAAAAATGCCATAAATCAGATCTTGCTCAGGTAAGTAGAAGGTGCTCTGGAGCTCGTTGTAGTAAAAGGGGATTTCTCCTGAGCGTGAGCAGTTGAGGCGAGCCTTCATGAAGGTGGTCCAGGTGTCCTCCAATAGAAAGCGTCCACCCATATCATTCTTACAGACCCGAGCCACTCGAGAGAACACCATTTTCCCACAGTCATTTTCCACCGCAGTTTCCCTCAGGAAGAAGTACGCAAAACGACCAATCTCATAAACAGACACAAAATGAGGCTCTAGAAGAATAGAAGAGGCAGAGACACAGGTCAGCGTGATGGATCAACGAAAGAGTGATGAAAAGGACAAACTTTGTGGTGCTTTGTTAACCGTTGAGCCATTTAGAGTTGTACTGGGCGGTGCGCAGGGGCGGCATGTTGCCCAGGCTCCTGTAGATCACTGGGTCACGTCCAGAGAAATCAATCACTGTGGCAGCATACAGCTCGCCCTTTTCTGTGATCATGGCAGTGGAGTTGTGACGCGGGTCGTAGGGACATCGGGCAACACCGTTCACAGTGTCTAACACCTGACTGAGGTTAGAAATCTGACGAAAAGAAGGGAAAACTGAACTAAGCATTTCCTGCTATTTTAGTGGGTTGACAAGCAATTTTGTTCTTTCTGTTTTTATCGCTTTATTCGCATTATTTCAAAACTTTTAATGAATTTCAAAACTTTTAATAATGTAATCTTCAGTTTCTATCATTTCCCAAATGCACAAAGCTGCTGAAGACATCTGAGGATCACAAAGACACCAAAACTATTTATAATTATTAAATATAATTACAAAATATATAGAGAAAAGATAAATTAGCTAATCAAAGTGACTAGAAGAAAATGACTTTTATTGTCAGATTTCTTGATTTTATCCTTTTTCCATTTTACATTGAGCTCTAGCAACTTATAATTGTCTTTCTTTTAATTACCCCCAAAAGGATTTTAGACTATAAAATATGTATTTTCTTGTCATATAGTTTCATTAATTCTACTTAAGTGCAAAAACTGCCATTTTACTAACCTGTCTGGTTATGCAGACAGGGGTAAAAGCATTGGTCCCACATGTGAAGAGCGTCCTTCCGCTTATCAGCAAAACCCGTACATAGTTTTGGCATTCATCCTGCAGACAAATACGCCAGAACTCAGTTTTACTGTTTCATGACATGTCATCAAAATGTCCAATATAATATAATCACATAATAACATAATCCAGTCTAACGTAATATGTTTCTGAATACACAGACAAATATCTGTATTTCAGTCACAGCACAATACCTCAGATTTGCCTTTGCTCTGACATGAGCGCTTTGTGTCTTCATCGGATGCCCATTCTGTTGCCTGAGGAGAAATGTTCAATTGTAGAATGTTTTTTTTTATATTGGACCTTTTATATTTAATAAGAGATACTGTTAAAATGATTAAAAATAAAATGTCTTTGACAGTAGTTCATTTTTGTGTAGTCTTAACCTTACCTGTATGAGGGAGGTATTATTCAAACTCAGTCTGAAGAGGAAATTTCTGTAAAAGATATTTTATTTTAGAGCTAAAACAACAGACTGCTCACAGTAGCAGTGTACAGCATATAAATGTTATCCTCTAGTATCTCCCAACTTCTGTCCAGACACAGTTTGATCAAAACACATTTGTGCTGCCTTGGCAAAATAACCGTATAGCTTGTGTTGCTGGATTTTTTCTTCTTCCTTTTGGGTCTTTTTACTCCATTTAAGAGCTATCTTTACCCTTTAGTGCTGTCTTTGGGCTTTCGGGACTTTGTGTTTTAATTTCAAAAATAAATGTTGTGTGTATTTCCCGTGTTTATGTCCAGAAATATCATCATGTAAGAATTGGGGGCTTGTCCAGGATATGAACGCTGGCACGCTTCTATGATGACACATCATGTATCCACTTTACACCACTGTATGCTAGTAACATGCTGTATGATTACTGTTTGAGTAATGCATGCTATTTGGTACCTTGCTCCTACAACAAGCTGGTTTCGTCTCAGGTCCAAAGCAAGTTGGGAGAAGTCCTTTGCACCTGGATGTGAGAACTCAGACACCCAAGACCTCAGTGCTGGATGCACAAATAATCAAATGATAAGGAGTGAGGGGAAAAAAATAAGAAGAAAGAGTATAAAAGTAAGTGAAAGGAAAAGCAGGAGATGATAACATGAAATATGAGAGACAAGAGAAGAAGATGAAAAAGATCCATTATTCAGTGTTTGCCTTTTGCCAACTTTACAACTCATCTTTAATCGTAGGGCCTAAGACCAGAAAGGAGGCTTTTAAACAGACTGAAAGTACTGATTTATTTTCCAAAATTATAGGGTAGGAAATAAAGATCTGGAAGTCTCCCAATTTTCATATTATATTACTTGTTCTAATTAATTAGCAATCTCTTGAAATAATTTATCTTGAATTCAACAACATAAATTTACCATCACATAAGACTGTTCAATGTCAAAGTAATAAGATAAGTAAGGTATATCTGTCAGGTCTTTACTTTTTTCTCTCAACTTGTGCAGTTGTCTCAGATTTTTTTAAGGACACATTGCATACCATACTGAGATATTACAGACCTTTACATTGTAGCTCTTTGGGACACACCTACAATTTTATGTCTTTCTATTAAACAAATGGGAACAAATTATTTGTTTTGTAACGGGTTGCTAGTCGCAAAGTGCCTAAAGATACACAAAGAACGAATTAAAATTTTGATCTTTCCTAAGTTGTCCATTGTATGTAGACCCAACACTGGTTCATCGCTTGAGTAAGGTGCCTTTTTTGCCAGGTCAAGTACAAGGACTGGGCTAAAAACATTAGAAAAAGACACCATCCAATCCTGAAGAAACATTGCTCAAAACCAATTTAAAAGATAAGTATGTCTGCCTCCCTTTAAGCAAAATATAAAGAAATGAGGGGTGGCTTAAGACTTTTCCATCTTATCAAGAACTTTGTTTTGAAAGTTTCTTTATAACTTTAGTCTATCATGGTTGATATTACATGCCCTTAATTGAAAACCACCACCTGAGCAGTATGACAGCCAATCAGAACTGAACGGTAAATAAAGTTGCTTTAGCTGTTTTACATGAGCTTCGGGGAGGGCGAACAAACCACATACAAATGAATGCTTCCCGCAATGTTTCAGAGCAAATTACTGCTGCCTCTCAGGACTAAATGTCTGTTCCTCTCATTTGATAGCCAGCTTGTGGGAAAAAAAATGTATCAACAACAAAAGCAGCACGGTTTGCCAGGCAAACACTTTGAGCTGAATGTAAACTGACATCCAGTCAAAATAATGACATCAAAGGCCCTTTCACAGTCATTAGACAGCTGAAGAAGAGCATTTAATGAGGCCATGCGGCAGACACAACATCAACACCTTTATTAATTTCACATAAATCTTTACATTCAATTATTTTGCAGAAATTGCCAAGCACAGTTTCAACTTTCAACGTGTCTTTTGTAAGCCTCGATGCATGAGATAAACACAATTCCAACTAAGAGTTCATAGTGCTGCCAGATTTCACAACCTTATATTAAAGTCACGCTTCACACTTTGTATTGGTTAATCTCAATTAATGTCACATAAAACAACAAATTGAAAGGTTATGAGCACCAGCGTGTCAAGATGCTTATTAGAAACTGAACTATCATTCTTGTCTGGTCTCAGTTCTGCTTTGAATAGCTCTGAAAGAGGGCAACAAAACAACATGAATACAAACCATCACTTGAACAGCAGTGATTTTCGGAGAGCTATTGAATCCAAATTGCTTTTGTGCACTTCCCTGTGTACATAATGAGCTGCTGCAAAGCGGACAAGGGCAGGCAGTCTAAGTCTCTCATTCAAAATACCAATCTGACAGTTGACAAGGAGAAGCGACTTGTTTCTTGGACTTTCTCTTTTAAGAAGAAATTAGTTAACTACAGGGAATCAGAAATCGACACTCATTCTTGCAACAAAAGAGCCAATTAACTAAGAGCGTCTAGTTTCATTTCAGATTGCAGAACTGTCTACACTTTGCATTATGTAAGTTGCCGTCTGCTGCTTGTAAACTTCTTTGCATTTTAGCAATTTTATTTAACAAAATGAGCACAGGAAAGAAAATAAGATTACAGCAATGATCATTGTTATTACTGGACCTGGATCCTTTATTAGGGATACCTTGCTGATGTCAGGTCAGACCTGCTCTTGGCTCCAGAAGAACTTGAATTCTTAATGGCATAAATTGAACAAGATGCTGGAAACGTTCCTCACAGATTTTGGATGTGATAGAGTCACACAGTTGCTAGATTTGAAGTCAGTGTCAGATGATATGAGCTTTATCCTGCTGGGAGCAGCCATCAGACGATGGGTCTACTGTGGTTATACAAGGACAGACATGGTGAGCAGCAAGACTCAGGTAGGCTGCGGAGTTTAAACAATCGACTGGTATTAAGTGTGCCACACCATTATACCACCACCAGTCTGACCCATTGTTACAAAGCAATGGGTCATCATGGAAATGGAAATCGTGTTCTTGATGTCAAATTCTGACCCTGCATTTAAATCAATACGCGGCACATCAGGTGATTTTCCAATGTTTCCACATGTTGTTAACTTTGGTGATAATTGTAACCTCAGTTTCCTGTTCTTAGCTGACTGCCCAGTGTGGTCTTCTGCTGCTGCAGCAGATCTGAGTGCTTCCAAGGGTGCAAAGATGCTGTTCTGCATACCTATTTGGGAAAATCCAGCAGATCAGCAGTTTCTGAAATAATCATCTTTCTCAATCATCTTTCTTCCCAATTCAGATGCTTGGTTTCTTTGGTCCGTTTCTTCTGATTTACTGTGTATTTCCTGTGTATTCTGTGCTTCCTTGTCTGCTCTTGTATCATTTCCTGCTTTATTTTATTGTTTGTTGTTTTCTTGTGTTCTATTTACCTCTTGTCTTTGTCTTTTTCCACCACTACAATGCCCTGATTGCTTCCAGCTGTTATCGTTTTACCTTGCTATACATGGTGGCTTTTTGTGTCTCCCTTTGTCAGTTGTTCCTTTTTGGTTTCTTTAATGATTTTTACAATTTCTATATCAGTTAAAACTCACCTTTTGCTTGTTATATCATCTTCATTCTGTGTCCTGTGTTTTTCTCTTCTTTTCAGACGGAAACATAACTTGTCCAGGATAAAAATAATTATTATTTATTATTGCTGTTCCTTGTCTATTTCCATTTCCAGTGGCATTTAACAAACATAATTTCTCAAAAGCTGTAGACTGTTGTGGGTTTTATGGTTGGTTACAATATGGCTGTGATAGCAATAGAACAAGCCGTGCAACAGCGTTTAGACAGCAGTGATTAGAGCAACAAAAGTAGGTGAAATGACATTCTAAACGTTTAAAGCTTTTATGGATTTGGACAAGACTTTTGTGCAAGCACCCAGGTTGCTGTGCTGATAAATTTTCATGAGAGCATTTTTTGAATGCAAACTAATCAATTGCTGTTGCTGTGGTGGTTATAGCTGAATATACAAACCCAACGAAAATCAGTTTTTAAAGAGCGGCGAATGAAATGTTGAGAGATGGCATTGATTTAAAGTTGGTGGATAAGTGAAGATTGTTATACAATTATGCAATCGTTATTTAACTTTACAAAGGACCATAAAATGTTTGTGACCCAACCAAAGCTCCTTCACAAAGATACCATTTCAGCTTCAGGGACTCTTTATTGTTTGTGTAGCAGGGTCTGGCCAGAGAACCTCCTTGTGCTTCCAAGAAAAAATTATACAAAGTTAAAGTAAACATTACCAAGGGATCTTTAGATCCATATATGTACGTTCTTATTCAGTGAAGCACTGGAGTAAAGCACTGTTTAGCAGCCATGGTTTGACATGAGAGTATGATCAAAATGTAGGGGTGATAAAATCAGAAGGGGCAGACATATACAGTTTTTTTATACTTTAATTTAAATCGAAAATGTATATCTTATGTAGCCTTTTGCATACAGTTGGTCCTCATACAACCCTTAATCCAAAGCCTTTACGTCACTTATTCAAGCAAAAGATGCATTTTGATTACCATTTTACAATAAGGCTACCACACTGCTCGCTCACAACAACCTGCTTAAAGAGCCTGAATTTGAGAACTGTAGACAGTCTAGGAAACGCATGCATGTCTACAAGTTTGCCTAATTGTCAACATCAGCATGACAACCCGATCGTTGTGTGACAAGGTTAAGATCTCTGATCTTGATGTTGGGTACATGGACTAACCGGCTGCATGTGAAAATCATCACTTTGAAAGTGGGCTCAAAGAAACACGGCCTTTGTGTGCGTGACTCTTTTCAATTCGCCGACTTTCTCATATATTTGTGTGTGTACTCTTACATAAAAAAAAACAACACAAATTATGTTGTTTGAAAACAGAAATTGTCTTGTGGAAAATAGATACATTGTCCTCTTTTCAGAATGGGTAAATGTGCAAGCAACGCAGTCTCTTATTTCAGCTAAAAAAGTGTCTCCCTTCAGCATGAACTTTGGTGCTAGGTTGGGGCCTTTGTTCAGTTTGGCATGTGCACATAAGTTGCTACGATGGGGTGGGCCTAAACTAAAGTGATTAAAATGTACAAAGTCCCTGATTTTGCAAGCGTGCCTTCATTTTTGAGCCCTAACTTCATTCGTGGCCCTCCTCCCCACTCTATCAGTGGTGTGTTTCTTTGCTCACCTTGGTAGGAAACAACAGGATGTTCCTTTCTGCTGCAGTCGGCAGGCTTGATGTGAGGCTCCTCTGACAGACACATGGATAAACAGATGACCAGCACAAGGCCACAGGGGGAGAGGGCCCATACCCCCCACCCTGATGTTACCATAGTTACAACCGCATCCAGTCTTCTATCAGGTCCTCAGGAATCACCTGTCGGAGCAGAAGTGATATCTGTCAATCAACCAGACAGTAATGGCAGGGAGAGTAAACCAATCAGCCTTGTGACAAATAAATATCCTTATATTTTTTGGCATTTAGATAATCACTCTAGAAAACTCAATACATCAGTGCTGGACTCTAAAAATCCATATCCACTCAGTAATAGCTCACACTTGCACACACTCTCTTCTCTCCGTCCTCCTGCCCATTCATCTAAATTAATTTTGCCAGTCGACCGGCCCCGCTGTCCCTCCTCACTTTCAGTCTGTCTGCTTTTGGTGTCCATCGCCTCAGTGTCAGCAGGACTCGGTCATGGCTAATTCACCTCAAAAGGCCAGAGCCGCCAATCTTCACTAACGCCAGCTCTCAAACTTTGGGTGCCTCTTTCTGACTGAGGGGATCCATTCAGAGATGAGCCCCGGGCACAGAGCCAAACAGGAGGGTGTGCCACATGAAGGGTCGAATTCATTTTATATGAATCAGAATCTGCTCAAAGGTGATGATCTGATGGTGACTTTAGGCACAAAGATCAAAGGCTCTTTTATGTAGTTTACAAATTTCCATCCAGCTGCGTCAGACAAGTATCAGACTTTTGCTTTCTCACGTGCAGCACACAGAGGGAGGCAGCGTTCAAGATACTCTGTTTGGTAGAGTAAATGCAGCCACATACTAGCTGTAGCATACATACTGACGCTGGCAAGTTAGTTACAGGCTAACGTCTAATCCAAATGTGTTGGGTCTTTGTGTTTTCACGCACACTTCTGTGGGGCTACATTTTCTCATTTATTTAGAAATTCTGCATGCATTCACCAAGATATTTAAAGTTTGCTAAATTAAAAAAAATGTGGATGCAAACAAGGATAAAGACCTTTAAATGTTTTTGCATGTGAAATGACTCTATGTATGAGCTCTGAAATGGAAAAAAATGTCTTTTGAATCATCTAATAAATTTCTGTTTTAAGCTCCACTCCTGTACTGACCAGTGAACCATTCAGATGTGAGCAAGCGTTTAAGTAGCTGAAGACTAACTACAGGAGACACCTTCACCATGAGAGCACGTGAAATGCCTGAATCTAGCTACACTGTCGCCTGAGGGTTAGGCGGGACCAGAGCACAAATTTGACTCTGAAAATGTCTGAGCTGAGTGATAAATGAGTTTATGGAAAAGGCCATAATGTTCCAACTATGTATTGAAAACTTGAACATCCTCAACACTACAGGGCAGCATATTTCTTGCCCATTCACAGCGGCGTCTTTTTCTTTAACCCTTAAACCAGTTTCAGTGCAGCTGCTACGCACTACAAAGAATGGAGGCGGTGAATGTCTGCCTGTCTACTGCTCACTGGGAGGACTGAATACGTGTGGAGGCAGAGGTTTTTCAGCCTGCTGGGTCTTACATTGCTGCTTAATGAAGCGACAGGAGCAGAGCCTCCACCGCTGGCCTCGCCTTTGTTACGGGGCCACGGTCCTCTCACCGCGCAAAGGCTGGCCAGTGAGAGGCCTAATGTTCTGGGATTTGTCTATTCAGCCCAACGAGGGGGAGCGACAGTGGACGTCAGTCAGATTCTTCGGGGGCAGTAGGAAATGTGTGGACGCAGGCTCTCCCTTGGTGATTAGCGTTAGTTAAAGACAAAGAGCGCATATTCATCATCCTCTGTCTACATGACAAAGTGTGCTAGGACCTCTTTATGGTTTGGTTAAGTTTAGTCAAGTAACACACAAACTCTTTAGACACACTGTGAGCCCAACTATCTGCACTGATGTTTTTCTTGAATGTTTTTAACTGTGCATTAACAAAAGCATTGTGCTCCCTTCTTTGCTTCTGAGAGAAGGTAGTCACCTCTAATATGACCATGAAAGTTCACTTGTCGCCAACGCTATTTCTAAGTACTGCCCCCCAAAGCTGTATGGCTGTGCCTTTATACTTGTCCTTTTCACACATCTTACCCTGTAACAGGGAAATTTGATAAGTTCTTTCCAGAAAAACCCTGAAGGTTTTACAGTAAGCTGGTATCCACAACAAAACTTTTAGTACTGTGTAGAATATAAGCTTTACAGTATGATGCTGTCAGCTGGTTGACTTTCATTAGTCTTATTTGAGTATTGCAATCTCCAACATCATTGCTGTGTGTCCAACCGTCTTTGTGAACTATAACAACACATTGCTAATGAAACTTATATTCCTTTCACTGCCAGGTTACAGACTGTTGCTGCACCAACATTTTGACAGCTACAAAAGGTGGCCATACCAAATACTGACTGTACAGATTCCTTCTGTGTCTTATATACTGTAATATTTAGTAAATCAGGGCACCTCTTCCCCAATTTTCCTGAAAAATATAAAGGAATGAGTAGAAATGAGGGGTGGCTAAAGGCTTTTATTCAATACTGTATCTAAACAAACAAAAAATACTTTTTTTCCTGAAATGTTTCAACATAAGTCATATGAATTTAATATAATCTGAAAAAAAAGGTAGGGCAGATTGCTGCCCCTCCCTGAGCCTGGTTCTGCATGAGGTTTCCTGTTTAAATGGTAGTTTTCCTTCCCACTGTCGCCAAGTGCTTGCTCATAGGGGGTGCTCTGACTGTTGGTGTTTTTTCTGTATTGTTTCAGGGTCTTTACCTTATAAATATAAAGCGCCTTAAGGAGACTGTTGTGATTTGGCAGTATATAAAAAACATTGGATTAGCTGAATTTAATTGAAATCTGAAGTAAGCAAATGACCGCATCAGTACAGAGGACATATGTTACACATAAAATAAGTAGATGGTCGTGTGATGCTTCTAAATGTGGCTTGAGTGATTCGATGTAATATTATGGACCCGACAGTGGCAGACGGACCTGAGCTACAGTCTTTGAATTTGTTATAGAAAGTTGGAAATAAATTGCTTCAAAAATAAAATCAGAGAGCTGTTTTCCCAGAGACGGAGCGTGTCTGAACATTCATTCACTCGTGTAGCTGGCTGCGATAGAAAAACACCTTAAAGAAATAACAACTTGTGATGGGATTAGAAACACAGAGTCTGCAATTCATGTGACCGGTCCGTGTTTGGACTGTGTGGGGAAAAAAATCCCCCGGGAACACAAAGTGAACATGTGACCACCACACTGGAGCAACACGGCCAAGATTTTAAGGCAGGGCCATGTCAGTAAATAAAGCTGAGGACTGGGCCGCCCTGTATCAACACAGCTAAGCATGACAGGTGTATACTCAAACCCCTGCTGCCTGCCAATTTGTCTCTCCTACTTCACTGGTGCCTCTCCATGTGATTCCTCTGCAACAGCGAAAGCTGATTCAAACATCTTGCGGACAAAACTACACACTACAAATCTAAGATGCTTGTGCGTCTGCTGAAACATGAAGATAACTTCATGTTCCTGCAGCAACTCCAAAACCTCACACAAAGACATTAAACTGTAACCTCTACTCAAATTTTGCAGCAGTATTTAAGGCTGAATTTTTTTTTGTATGCTTTTCATTTTATTGGGATGCCTTTTAAACATAGATGTTTTGGTAGATTAGATTTGCTCTGGAATTGTTTCACAATTGCAAACTACTGTATTGATTGTTCTGCAGCTTGTTGAGGCAAGACTGAATGAAACTGCATCTGTTAAATATTTAAAGGAGATACACAGCAATGCAATTAAGCATTTACTGTGTTATCACGTGAGCATCTATATGGATCCAAACAAGCGGTTAAGGATTGTGCTCGTTACTAGCAAATGTGACTTTGAAAGTAACTTCTCCTGACCAAAGTAGTCACTACAAGTGGCCTCAGAGTCATTAGCAGCACTAGCCTGGGAGACGGGTCTGTTGTCCATCACGTCCTGCGATGTAAACCAACCCTGCAAACAGAATCAGCTCGTGGCTACCTTCCACTTTCACATCTGTGCCCATATATAGACTCTTTATCTGCCATTGTAATTTACTTTGACATTTATTGCCGCACTTGAGTTGTAGAAGTTTCTTAAGCTAAAAAAAAAAACAGCTTTACTTGGCAAAGAAGGTTAAACTAATTCCCCTTACACATTCACACCAAATGGCACTCAGAGTCAATACAGAGCTTATTAAATGTGCTTGAACTTTTCCTGCAGTACAGATAGTTTGATTCTTATATTAAAATCTATCATGATATATGCAGGCCACTTTAATCGGTATATCTTGGTTGGAGCCACACTCTTACCACTGTTGGTTCCAGAACAAACTTAATTCTTCACGGCACAGATTCAACAAGGTGCTGGAAACACTCCATATTAACACAGCAGCATCACACAGGTGCTGCATATTTGTTGGCTGCACGTCCATGATGGGAATCCCCCATTCTACCACATCCAAAAGGTGCTCTACTGGATTGAGAGCTGGTGTGTGTCAGGAGTATGAAGGCCATTGATGTGCAGTGAACTCATTGTCATGTTCAACAGGTGATTTGAGCTTTTGAGGTGCTTCCAGCCATCAGAAGATGGGTACCCTGTGGTCATAAAGTGACGATCAGCAACAATACGCAAACAGGTTGTGGTGGATAAACAGTGCTCGGTTAGAGTGTGCCCATGCACCATTACAGCACTGATAGAAGGATGGATCCATGCTTTCGTTTGTTTGAGTCTACCGTCCAAATGTCAAAGCAGACCAAGCAACATTTTTCCAATCTTCTGTTGTCCAATTCTGGTGAGACCGTGCAAACTGTAGCCTCAGTTTCCTCTTCTTCTGCTGTGGTCTAGATGAGTACCGCAACATTAACAGACAGATACACAACAAAAATCAAATGTCTGGCACAGCAGAAGACCAAGAGCTTGTCCCTCAGAGCAAATCATCACACGTTTGGAAATACTTTGGATTTAGGGCAAGTGATGTTAACTAATAATAAGTTACAGCGTCTGCACGATAATTTATTACAACTGCTTGAAAACGCACCACAAACTGCAGGATTATTAACGCATGAAGGACAAGAGAAACAACGCAATATTTGGAAAAGTGAATCATCCGCCGTGC